ACCCACCCCAGCCCTGGCCCCCCCCCCCCCCACCTGCTGGTGCCCCTCACTCCTAACCGACAGCCCCCACTTCCAGGCCAGCTATGGGCTCCCCCCACCAGCTGCCAGTGCCTCTCACTCCCTGACCCACAGCCAGCCCAGCCCAGCCCTGCCAGTGCCCCTTCCTCCTGACCCACAGCCCTGGGCATCCCCGCCTTGCTCCGCCCCCGCTGCCGGGGGCCAGTACCTGCAGGCCGACCCCTCCTGACAAATTCCCTCGGGGTCTCCCTTCAAGAGCTTGGTAGCCTGCTTGGCCTTGTGCTGGAGGTTGCTGATGAAGACGGGGAAGTCGTGTCTGGCATGTCTGCGGCAGGAGGGGGGGGGGGGGGGTCCTGGATCAGCAGCAGGTGCTGGCATGTCTGCGGCAGGAGCTGGGGCAGGCAGGGGGCATTGTTCCTCAGCCCCAGGCCCAGCTACCTCTCCAGTACCTACAGCTTCTCCAGCGCCTGCAGAGCCTTGTCCAGCATGGTCTGCATGGCCATGCCCAGGCTGCAGGGGCCCCAGCAGGTGCCTGGCCCCCTGCAGCTGCCATGGCCCTGGCCAGAGGGGAGACTGCGCTTCCTCCTCCAGGGCCATCCCCCCGTGAACCCACCCCAGCCCCCCGCAGGCAGGGCTGACCTGAAGTAGGTGGCAGAGCTGGGCAGCAGCAGGAGTCAGAGGGCGGCCAGCAGGCTTCAGGAGCGCATGGTGACAGCACTGTGCAGCGGGCAGTGGCGTCTCCCGTGGCCCTTTAAAATCAGTAGGGCAGGGCCAGGGAAATGCCGCCCCTGGAAATGTGCTGCCCCAAGCACGTGCTTGATTTGCTGGTGCCTAGAGCTGGCCTTGGGTGTGTACTTGCGCGGGAGTGCAGAAAAAATTTCCTAGAGGAGTGCAGCCATGTGGTGGGTGGCAGGAATCTGTGCTGGGGCCAGAAGAGCTGTGAGCCATGTGGTGGGCAGCAGGAAGCTGCTCCAGCATTCAGGGTCAGAGGAGCCATATGGCAGGCAGCAGGAGGCTGCTTCAGTGGCTGGGGCTGGGGCCAGAGCAGCCACATAGAAGCCTGGGTGGGAGAACAGCGGGGCGGATACCGGGGTCAGTACCAGTAGGGGAGGCAGCAGGGCCAAGGATAGCGGAGGCTCAACACAAACCCTGGACAGGTGACGGGGGAGAGGGGTGGACAAAGGCACCAGCCATCTATGGTGGTGGAAGGTACTAGGCTTGGGTAAATTCAGAGAGGGAGAGGAGAGGGTAAGGTGCGGGGCTGAGCACAGGTCTCTGGGCAGTGGTGCTTAGGCTGTGGGCCTTAGGCGCAGGTACTGGCTGTTTGTGTTTGGGGGACAGATAGCATGGCCCTGGCATGTATTTCGGTGATATATGGTGTGTGCCGGGGAGATATTGCAAGGCTGGGCACAACTACAGGGTGTGTAGGTGGGGGCAGGGGGAGGTAGGAAGTTAGCCAGGCCTATACAGGTCACAGCTGGCTTAGTGTGGTTCTGATGGGGGCAGGGGCCAGCAAGTTGGGTGGTTTTCAGGATAGGTGGGTGCACCTTGTTAATTATCCAGTTTTTAGTATTTTTTCTTGCATAACAATTTAAAGTATATGTATATGTATATGTATATGTATATGTATATGTATATGTATATGTATATGTAATGATGTTAGCAACTGGTGGCTGCCACAGAGCACACATCCAAACAAGTGCACATGAAGTCAATATTGGTGTACAAGACAAAACTCACTCTACTCACATATGGAAAATCTTAGAGGGGACACTGGTGGCATGCTCTGGGAAACAGTGTCCTCAGTGATGGTAGGGGTAGGTTTATGTTGGAAGGGTAGGCCCATGCCATTCCTGGAAGTGCAGGAATGTCTGGTATTCTGGGAATGCATGGCAGCCTTACAAAATCTACCTGGATTCTCTGAAGGAAAAAGGTTCCCGCTACTTTCCCACTCTCCAAAACGTCCTATCTGCAGTAATAAGGTACAGTAATGTCTAACATAAAATCACATATCACATAATGACTTTTGCTCAGTTCAGCTGGAAGCAGGAAATATTTCTTGCTATCAAGAAATAGTAGAAACGGGGTCAAGCCTAAAGAACACCAAAAGGTGCCAGGCACAGACCGTAAAACACATTCCTGAAGGACCGTAACAGAACACTTAGTTAAGAAACACATTGGTACCAACTGACTGCCCACAGATAACACACATTCTGACTAAGGTTTAGGCCCAATAACTGATGGATAGTTATTGAAACCCTCCGTTGTGTGAGGTAAGGGGTGGTATCTAGGGTCTGACTGACCTTGGCCCCACTGCTTCTGGGGATGTGAAGCCTTCCTCCCCCACCTTGCCCTGGGGCCCATGGTGGCTGGTGGCCCCCCTGGGTGTAGAGGCAGGCTGGGGCTGGGGAGTCTGGCCAGGAGGGAGGATACAGGAGCTGACTGTGGTCTTGGCAGGGTGTGTCAGGAGTGATATGTCAGGAGTGATGTGTAACTTGTTTGTACCTGTGTACAAAAGTGTACCCCAAAGAATTGTCTTTGACTAGCCAAAGGGGCAATATTGAAGTTCATAATGTTAACTGAGCTAATCCATTGTCACAGGGTGCATATGCATAGGAGATCAGCAGAGAGTCTATTTGCTGACAACTATTACTATACTTTGCTAGGCAATAGTATTGCACTTTGCTGGTGCCTTCGATCCTTATCTGATTTTGTGATCTTTGGTGCCTCTCTCATCTACAGGGTTTTTTTCTAAAAAACTTCCCCTGTGTCTAGACTGCTGCTGCATTCTTTTGAAAATAAATAAAAAAACACGTCAGGTTTTTTTGACCGTGGAAACCCCCGTTTTATGAGGAAGACCGCCTTTTTTTGAAAGTGCTCTTTCAAAAAAAGGCGTTCTTGAATGCAAATAGGGCTTTTTCGAAAGAGAGCATCCAGACTGCCTGGGTGCTCTCTTTCAAAAAAGCAGCTTGTTTTTTTAAATTACTTGTAGTCTAGACACTCTTTTTCAAAAGAGGCTTTTTTGAAAGTATCTTTAGAAAAAGCCTCTTTCAAAAGAGGCTTGCAGTCTAGACGTAGCCTTGGAGACTCTGTTAATCCCAAGTGCAAGCAGGAGACAGGAGAGCAAAAGCATGTCGCTGAAAATGTATTATTGCTGGAGGAGGAGACCTGTCTGGAACCCATTGGGAATGACTGACTGAGGACATCTGCTGTGGCAGGAAGTGGGAGGTCTCCATGAACCTCCCTTTTTTCTCAATTTTTGTTCCTTGGTCGAAAGGAAGCCAGGCAAGGGTATTTGGGTTTGAGGTAGATTTTACAGTGCACTTAAATTGAAAAAGTGATCTTGTGACTAAAAAGACTGTTCTATTTACTCCTGCTTCTGTAATTTCCACTCCAGTTCATCTGATGAAGTGGTATTTACCCACAAAAGCTTATGCCCTAATAAATCTACTAGTCTCTGAGGGTATGTCTGCACTATGTGCTTAAGCTGAAATAAATTATTTCAAAATAATAACTCTTGAAATAACTATTTCGGAATAGCATATTCCCCATTACAAACCCCCATCAAAATAGTGCAGTTGTATCAAAACAGTGCATCTACACGGATTGGAGCCTGAATCGCAGTTAAGGCCCTCTGGAAGCACTCCGGGCAGGGCATCAGGGCAGCAGTCACTTTCTGTAGCTGTTGCCTGAGGCTATCTGAGGCTTGTACTTAAAGGGGATGCCACAGCACTTCCACCATGGAGCCAGACCTGCCACCAAGCACTCATCGGCTCTTAGACCTCATGCTGCATCTCTTGGAGCAATTAATACAGGTTGCCCATGTGGCACTGGAGGACCAGGACCAGCAGCTCACTCTGAGGTACCTCGTCACCCCACTCCACATGCTTCTTATGCACCACAGCCTCTCCCACCGTCCCCTGCACACTCCCGCTTCTGGCACCAGGACACCAGTTCCAACTGGTGAGACTGGATCACCAGCAGTGGCTGGTGTTCTTCAAGAACACCTTCCTGGAGCTCTACGAATGGCCTGCCCCTGTCTTCAGCTTATGGGAAACCCACATGTGACCCGCCATCCCCCTCCAGAAGTGTGTTGCCATTGCTGTTTCGAAGCTCACCATGCTGGACAGTTACCACTACATTGGGAACCAGTTTGGTGTGGGGAGATTGATCACTGGCTCTGTGCTTATGCTTACTATTTTCCCAGGATGGGGTAGTTGGAGTTGGTCCTATTGTGGGAAGGGGCTTGGACCTCCCAAGATCTCTGGCAACCCTGTGATTCTCTATTTGCATGCTTTTACAGGTGGTGAGGGCCATCAACACTATCCTGATGCACAGGGTCATCATCCTGAGTGACATCGACCCCATTGTTGCCAGCTTTGCTACCATGGGCTTTCCCAACTGCAAGGGGGAGGAACTGACAGCACCTACATCCTCTTCTGGTCCCCCAACTACTGGGTACTTTTCAATGGTGCTTCAGGCTCTTCTGGACTACCGGGGCACTTCAGCAATATTAATGTCTGGTGGTCAGGGAAGGCGCAAAATGCCTGCATATTCCGTGACTCCAGCTTCTTCCAAAGGATGCATGCCAGCACATTTTTCTCTAACCACACCATCAACTTCAGAGAGATAGAGATGCCCATTGAGGGTGCTAGTGGGGTCCCCTCCACTTCCTTCCTCCCAGCAGGTTCCTGTGCAGAGGCTTAGTGTCCTCTGTCTTGCCACGCTTGACCAGGAGCAGATGCTGCCCCAAAAATGTGGGCGTGACCCTGTGGCATGTGCGGCACTGCTGTGTGGTTCCAGGACCCCAAACTCCTGTGGCCTGTGGTGGGAAGGTGTTCCACCATGCCGTTGAGAATAAGGCAAGCGTCTCCAGCAACCTTGTGAGAAGGAGCAAAAGGTTCCTGTGTGGGAGCCTCATGTGACTGTCTGCTCCAGAATGGCATAAGAACATAAGAACATAATTTATAAAACATGATTTTATAAATTCATGAGTGGTGTGGAGAGGGCTGATAAAGAAAAGTTATTTATTATTTCCCTAAATAGAAGAACTAGAGGACACCAAATGAAATTAATGGGTAGCAAGTTTAAAACTAATAAAAGAAAGTTCTTCTTCACACAGCGTGTAGTCAACCTGTGGAACTCCTTGCCAGAGGAGGCTGTGAAGGCTAGGACTATAATAGGGTATGTCTACACTACAGCGCTAATTCGAACTTAGTTAATTCGAACTAAACTAATTCGAACTAACGGATCCAGACTAAAAAACTAGTTCGAATTAGCATTTTGCTAATTTGAACTAGCATGTCCACATTAAGTGGACCCTGAACCGCGGTTAAGGATGCCCGGAAGCTGTGCCGGCAGGGCATCAGATGAGGACTTAGAGCGTGGAGCGGCTGCCTCAGGCTAGCCGAGGGCTGTGCTTAAAGGGACCCAACCCCCAACCCGGACAGACAGTTCTCAGGGGTGCCCCGCTTGCAAAGCAGTCCTGGCTTGGAGTGCCCGGACTACCCACACTGGGCACATCACAGCACTCGGCCATCAGACTGGCTGCACTTGCCGCAGGCTGCCATCTGGGGAGAAGGGGCAATTGGGGGGCTGCAGGAGAGCTTCCACCCCCAGAAGCCCGCAGAGCCAGCCCAGTCCTCCCCATCGGGGGCTCATACCCCATTTCTCCCTCACCTTCTTCCACTTACCCTTCCCTAGCCCCCCTTCCTGATGTACAAAATAAAGGACAATTGTGTTCAAAAATAGAATCTCTCTTTATTGAACAAAACTGGGGGAGACTGGGAAAAGGAGGTGGGAGAGGGGAAGAGAGATGGTGGGAGAGGGGAGGGCAACTACAATGATGAGGGGTTTGGAACAGGTCCCATATGAAGAGAGGCTAAAGAGACTGGAACTTTTCAGCTTAGAAAAGAGGAGACTGAGGGGGGATATGATAGAGGTCTATAAAAGCATGAGTGGGGTGGAGAGGGTGCATA